ATATATATATATATATATATATATATATATATATATATATATATATATATATATATATATATATATATATATATATATATATATACACACACACTTGAGTAAGGTATTTTCGTCACATACTCGAAAAAAATGTAATGAGGGGGATTTTTGTATTTATGTGTAGTATAGAGGTGGTATATGATACAAAGTTCACAATACATGGGTGTTTTTGTATTTAACCCTAATATATAAGCTAACCGTGTATTATTTTTATGGTAAAGTTTCCTATTTTTCTAGTTTATTTTTTATTATTGGGGAAACTACAGATAAATCCCTAATCCAAAATTCAACTCACAGATCAGTCCCTAGGTAGTTTCCCCAAGCAATTCAGTCCCTACTCACGCGCCTAACATGCAGTTCAGTCCCTAATAAAATGTGCAAATACTAAAATACCCTTTACTTTATACTAATTTTACATAACTTATTTCCAACCTCCAATGAGCCGTTTGTGTTACACGCTCTTTGCCCGTTACATTTCAAAAATCAAACAACAAGAAAGAAGCTAAACATAGAAGAAACGAAGAACAAAGAAACAACAAAGAAGGAGGAAACAACGAAGCACGAAGAATCAACAAAACGCAGAAACATTATAAAACGAAAGGAAAAATAAAAATAAACAAACCCATTTCTCGACAATGGTGAAGCAGGGTAAACAACAAGGTTTGATTTTTTTTTTCTTTCATTTTCTTGGAAACAGACCCATTTGGGTGTTGCTTAAGCTTGCAAAAAGGTTTATTTGTTGTAGAATTGCATGATTTTGAACATATCCTCTCATGGGTATTATGCCTCGACTTTATTCGGTGTTTTCCCTAATCATTAAATCGGTTCCAATATCTGTTTTTCTGTTGATTGGGTTTGCAAAGATCATTTATTTGTTGTCGAATTTCATGATTTTGTAACAGTTTCCTCATGGGTATTATTCTTCGGTGACATTAGCATGTCCCCAAAGCATTTTGAGTCCTAACAAGGGTTTCATGGGAAAGAGGCTTATTGTAGTTTCCGTACTGGTTCTATAGTATGTGTCATGCGCAGTAATGGTATTAATAGTGCATTTAGATGGTATTGACACAGGGTACTCGAAGTACTGTCCCGAAAGAATTTAGCCCCAACAAGGGATATGTCATATGTAATAATGGCATTGCTCTTGACTTCGGACAGTATTAACACAGGGTACTGGAAGTATAATCTTTGATGGTTCTGTAGTATGTGTCATATGCCACAATAGTATTACTAGTGCCTTTGAATGGTATTACTAGTGACTTTGGATGGTATTGACATATGGTACTAGAAGTATAATGTTTGATGGTCCTGTAGTATAAGTCATATGCCATAATAGTATTACTAGTGCCTTTGAATGGTATTACTAGTAACTTTGGATGGTATTGACATGTGGAACTTTATAGTACGTTGTATTTGTTATAATTGTAGTTTTATGTGTATGTAATTGCAGGAATTGATGTAAAAGAAGATTGCAGCAAGCTATCAATAGGCTGCAGGTGCTCACCGATCGCTTTTCAAACAACCATGGAAGGTGTGAAAAAAGTGATGAAGAAACAACATTATGAAGTACTGAAGAAAAATCCCTTCTATCACTACATGGACATGCCTAAAATAACCCACAGCTTCCATAGGGTTGTGTCTCTCATGCAAGCGTACAATGTAAAAGATCGGGCCTTCTGGTTTGGGGGAAATACTATACGCTTGGAAGTGTTTTGGGGTTTTTGTGTTTTTTGGTAATTAATGAACAAATGAATGTGTTTTTGTGCCATAAACAATCTGTCCTTTTGTTGTAGAGCTAATAATACTATTGATTAGCTCGCTTCGTACTTTTCCATTGTATCCATTGTACTATATGTTTCTATGAAATGTACTTACCTTTTGAACACATGGTACTTTATTTTGCGATTAA